ACACTCTAGGTGGCACAATTCTTGACGGACACGACAAGTCACAATTTTTTTGTTCATAATCACAATTTACAATAGATGTCATTATTTTCCTGAGAAACTATTTTGGTTAACAAATAAGAAAATTTAATTTAATCATTTAACATGTCCCTAACCAGCCACCATACATGTACAGCATCATAAGATACTTTAAATAGACTAAGTGGAAAATCCAAGACAGATATCCAATCATAGCTTAGTCATGTGACATCCCAAGATGCAGCAGTATATCTGATTTCATTTTATAAATGTCATTCAAGAGAAAAGCTTTGCTTAATCATTTCATTTTCACCAATTGTGCTGATACAAAAATGAAATTAAACATGGGTCATGGGGGAAAGGTTTTGTTTCTTGGAAGATTGAATTGAGTTGCTGGATAAGTAGGCTACTATAGGAAAAATATTTAGTATGAATTATTGCCCTTGTTCTTGCAAACCGTTCAATTTTTAGCTCGTAAACACTCTAGAAGGCACAATTCTTGACAGATTTTGACGAAACTTGGTATGAGTGTTCGTATTCACCCAAGGATAAACCCTATAGAAAAATCAGGGAAATTGAAAAATATGTAGTATGAATTATTGCCTATATTTTTGAATATAATCTGCAAATACACAATTCATGACAGACTTACTAAAATCACCCAAGGATAAATCTGATCAAAAATCTTGTACAACACGTAATTTTTATTCTACAAAGCAGAAGTCTAAAACAAATTTGACAACTTGATGAAATTGATCATCAATCAAAACTAAACCTTTTGAAATATAAAATACAAGTTATTGCCGTTATTCTTACAAATGTGTTTGATTTTTAACTTGTGATGGCACAGTTTGTGATGGATTTGGGTATAAGTTGAATATTTCCTGGTGTCTATGTTTGCTATTTTCTAACAAATATTCAATTTCAAACAAAGCTATCAGTGGGCGTATATTACCTTGCCTGGCAACCTATCTTCTTAAACCAAGAACTTACGATCCAAAACGAAACCCGAAAGAACAAAAACAACATTTTGGACAAACATTGGTAGCAGCTAGTAAACTTTTCACATGAGGAAGTACAGTCAAGTAACCTAATGGCATGTATCTCTGAAAGTGATGAATAATTTACAACTTGCGGATTTATTTACCAGTCATAACCAAGTAGCCATCACAATTTTTTATTGGCCAAATTTCCTTGTGTCGTCTAATAAAATGTGTTCCGGTGAACTAAAGTCACGTGACAAACTACCAGATTTCATGTCGGCAGAAAAAATTGGGCCATATTCTAATGTTGTTTCAATGAATTTTAGCAATAAATTACTCTTTATGTGTTACTTATCATTTTGTCAATCACTATTGTTTTTTAAATCATTGTTCTTTGAATTGTCATTAGTTATAATGAAATATTATTAAAGATAAATACTAAGAAATGATAGTTATACCACTGGGTATCCAGAGTTTTTCTCGACTTATGAAATATGGGTCAAGGTGAGAGATTCATAAAGAAAATGGAAACAAACCGATTTTTATTATTTTACAGAATACCAGTATCTGAAGAAACATCCAATACATAAAAAAAATTTCCGCTTTTTAAATTGTTTGGTCCATATATGCATGATATGGGTTCCACTACTGTATATCAACCATAAATGAATATATATTTCAAAATGAAAAGTGGTATCTGGTGTCTAGAAGAGTAAGCATTCCCTGCCTGGCACCACATCAGTCATAATTATACACAACAAACTACAAAAGGGAACGCGCCAACAAAAGAAAATTTACAAAGTTCAAGGGATTGTAACTGATGGAAATACATTTCTCCAATTTCAATAGTCAAGGGTGGGAATTGAACACAATAATTAATCATGATGTGAATAATGTTACAAACCCCCGAATCCACGAGGAAGCATTTAATGGTGAAACGTGGCATGAAGTGATCAGAAGAGTAAGCATATCCTACATGGAATCCTCACCTGCTAAATACTACATAAAAAAAAGGAAGGCAAAACAAATCCTAAAATGATAGACAATTATGTTGTCAAATTGTAATGTCAAGTTTCAACTTGATCGATAAACAAAAACATCTGCGATAATAGTAGAAACAGATATTTTATGTCTTTCAATTAGTTCGTGATTTCTTATGGGAAGTTTTGAGTCGATTTGGTAAATAGCCTAGTAGTAGTAGCTAGGACATTCGGATTCCCATCGAAAGTGAAGGCCTGGTTATTGTTCTTGTTCTTGAAAACACATTCCATTTCTTATTTGAAAATGTGTTGTGGATACAATAAAGCTGGTTATGCCTCATAATGTTTTTTTAAAGAATGCTATTTATATCTATGTATCTTTTTGATCTAACTGAATTTGTTTTAAAAGGGCTAATTAGAAATGGAGTACTAATTGTTAATTAAGCAGTTTGGTGATTGGCTTCAGAATCGCTCGATATTACAAGTTGAAACCTTTAGAATACATATGAGACATATTTCTCTACAATTAGGAGCTTATTTCATTCAAATCTGACAGTAGTTTCTTAACAGCTTCCAAAATGGATAAAAAACTTAAAAACTTTATGTTATTGTACGACCACATGAAAATGTACTGCTGTCACCCCTGTTCATCAGGAGCTGCGGTGGCTCATTGAGTTCGACGCTTGTTCGCTAACCGGAAGGTCCAGGGTTCAATCCCAGCATAAGTCTAGATAATCCCTTTGAATTTTTCAACCCGGTTTTCCCTTGTCAGTGATGCAGGTAAGAGGGGCTGACATGGAAAAAGCGTCTAGTCGTTCGGATGGGACAATAAACTGAGTCCTGTGTGCTACAGGCTGTGCACGTTAAAGATCCCTCGACAGTTGGAAATCGAAAAAAAGCAGGCTAATAACGCTCTGTTGGCAAAAATTTCCCACATTGCACTCTGCATGGCTTTGCCCGTCTTCATTACCCCTGTTCGTCGATCCGTCTGTCGGTTCACATTTATTGTATGCATGATAGAGGCTACAGTTTTTGTCTGATCTTGATGAAACTTGGTATGCATGTATATATTGATGAGATCTCAGTCAAGTTAGAAATTGGTAACAATCTGATGAATGGTTTCAGTGACCCTTGTGTGTATGTTGATGAGACTTTGTTCAGGTTTGAATTTAATGATAATTTGATGAACTGTTTCAGGTTTTTGCCTTGACTTTTAAATATTTTTACGCTTATTTAAAATTCATTATAAAGCCACTAAAATACTCTTATCATATCTGACAGCTAGTATTTGGTATATTTTAACTTACCTGGCAAGCTATCTTCAAAAATTTTTGGTATGGATGTTTTTACTTGAAACTTTCAGATATGTAAACGGGGACAATCTCTAGCAAAATAATTTTTTGACCTGCAAAAGCCAAATGATTTATCTACTGCCACTGTCTTTGTAAATAGAATTGTTGATTACATTCATAAAAGCATGTTGTTGTAATTTTACTGTTTTGATTTCAGATCTTGAATGTTTAAATAATGTAAATAAGAATTTTGAAAATGGGTTTTAAAGGAGGTCCAACACATCCAGATGAAGGAAAGAGACAAGTTAGAAACGATTCCAGTCCTCCAGATGGTGGATGGGGTTGGATCGTAGTTTTAGGATCATTTCTTTGTAATGTTATTGTGGATGGTGTTTGCTTATCGTTTGGTGTAGCAGCAACTGAATTAAGCTCTGAATTTGAAGCTCCTCTGTCAACAGTCACTTTAATTGGTTCTCTTTTGGCTGGCAGCTATTTAACTGTTGGTAAGTAATTTTGTTTTACGCACCATATTTTCTACCAAACATGGAGACTTTGGCAGAGGTGACATTATTATATATTGTACATTATTATATAGCAATTGAGAAATGAAATGATTATGACACAAAAGAATAATACCGGTAGTAAAAGTTATTTTCATGAAAAAATGACTTACTGGCCAATTTTGCTAATATTGTATAGACATGATATAGACATTTGTCAGCTGTGAATATTTATAACTTTATTATAACTTTATTACCCCTAGAACACTTTTTGCAAATATTAATTTGAGAAATATTGATGTCTTGATTATCAATGAGACTAAAAAAAAAAGAGATGGCCCAAAATTATGCAAGGTTGTGCCCCTGCAGTCAATTCATTGAAAGAAATTCGCAATAGCTTGACATTGTGAAAATGAGCCCTATTTTATTTACCTGAAATATTAACCTAAATCCTAATAAGATTAAAATGAATTGCAGCAGAGTTCTTAAAGGATGACTGAAGAAGAATATATTTCTATAAATTTCAGTCAATATTTTAGAGTAGAAAAAAAAAACACTTTTAAAATAGCCTTCTTTGTCAGGAGTCAAAGTGAAATTATTCTATTTCAACCATCAGGTATTGATAAAAAGCAATCATATTGACAAAAATGATTTATATTCACTTAACAAGTGGATGGTAGTTTGATTATATTTCGGTAAAACTTAAAATAAAACCATAATATTTGACTATTCGACACTCTGCCGTCTGAAGGCTACTTCCAGTGATCTGAGACGAGACATTTTTTGATCCAATATAGTGATATTTTTGTGATGAATCGTTATTTTTACCTGCAAAATCAATGTAAGACTACTTGAACCATGCCATTCCCCATAAAGGGTGTCTAGGGGGCCCTATCACTGGAATTTTCAAGAATAAAAAGCCTGTAAATGCTATTTCCAGCAGTCTGATACAAGGCATTTAATAATGAAAAAGCACCTTTTTTTGTGTAATTTTTAACTGCAAAATCAATGTAGGCCTACTAATAAAAATAATGATTCAACACAAAAAAATACACTTTTTCAGTATAAAATGTCTTGTGTCAGACCCCCTTTTGGGGAATGATCATAGGGATCAAGTAGGCCTATATTTATTTGCAGGTAAAAATAATGATTCATCACTAAAAATACGCTTTTTTTCATTATTAAATGTCTTGTCTCAGACTGCTGGAAATAGCATTACAATGGCGTTTGACTAAGGTCAAGGTTGAAGTTTGCTACCCACAGAACATGGTGGCGAAAACCTGAAAGTCCTTTATTGCCAAAATCACGTTGATTTGTTGGAGGTTAGCCTCCATAAGGACTTGATATTTGGTGAAATGTTAAGCATCATTTGTTGGGCTTGATTTGTATTGGAAAATTTGTTACTGATGAAATGATAAGAGACGATTGTGTTTTTTAATTTAGCTTTGATAGTAAGAAAAAGTAGAATTATGCTTATACAAATTTTAAATGTAAAAACATGATGCTATATATTTACAATATTTATGCTTTTTTATATTTTTTTCTTCTCTATGCAGGTCCAGTTGTCAGTGCACTAGCAGCACGCTATGGTTGTCGTAGAGTTACTATAGTGGGAAGTATTGTTGCTGCAACAGCTTTTATTCTTAGCACTCAGTCAACAAGTATCGAGATGCTTATAATTACATATGGTTTATTCGGAGGTGGGTATATCAATTCTTCTGAAGACTAAATGAAAACGAGGAAATATGTTGCTATCAGTTGTCCTTGCAAAATACAGTGGAGCCGCGTTTATCCGGTTGCCGATAATCCAGAAACCAGAAACTTTGAACGGAATATTAACTATGTAAAATTACCCGTTAATCCGGTGCTCCGGTTTCTCGTTCCGCACGGCTATGATTGGGAACCAATTATCAAGTTCTATAGTAATTAGTATTCATCTTCCAGTCGTGTGTTACTGTGAGTTCTTCTAACTGGTTTCCGGATTAGCGGTATTTATGATGTCGCAATATTGGTGTTTAATAATTCCTCATTATGAGATTAAGCAATTAATTTAATGATCACGTGTATGCTTTATTTCGTTCAGTAATACTTGAATTCATTTTTTCGTTCAGTCATACCCGAATTCCATCATGGCTACGGGACACATCAAACATTATCGCTATGATGATACGGCACAGTATTATGTTTATACATTAGCGAATCCTAATTTCAAGGAATGATATTGTTATTATCATGCTATGATAGTGAAATAAAATTTATTTAGATGTATATAAATTTAATGTACGGTAATATTCGAAATTTAATATGTTCTTCTACCTTTTGAGCTACCTTATAGATGTCTATTACGCAGTTGTTTTTACTGGGGCATAGATAGTGACAATTATGTATACGCTTACATTGAAATATGGACATATATTGCCATAGTCCTCGTCTGTCCGATCACTTGTCTTGTAAAAACAATAGAGAAAACAGTTTTTATCCGATTTTAATGAAATGTGGTGTGATCATTTGTAGTGATGAGATCTTAGTCTAGATTGAATTTGACGATTTTTTGGAATTTGAATCATTGCCCTTGACTAAGTCAAAATTTGTTGGCTTGTTAACGCGATAGAGGTGACAGTTTATGTCAGAATTTTATTAAATAATTTGTCTTTGTCAACAATATCTTGCACAAATTAGATTTTTGGTACGATTTGACACAGATATGTGACTGCCCTTGATATACTGAAAATGTATCAGGAAAGTGGGCGTATCTTGCTAGGCAACAACTTGTTGAGATTTTGCCATGACTAATAAATATTTTGAAGAATATTTGAAATTTCATTATTATGCCACTAAAGACTTTGATATCATTTCTGACAGCTGGTAGTGGGCCTATATTGTCTTGCCTGGCAAGCTATATTTATCCCATCTTGATGAAACTTGGTATGCATGTATAAATTGCTGAGATCTCGGTCAAGTTTGAAATAAGTATTAATCAGATGAATGGTTTTAGACTTATTGCCCTTGACTTAGTATTACATATCAAATTTGGTTTGTAGGCATGATAGAGACTAGTTTTCATCCGATCTTGATGAAACTTTGAATGCATGTATATATTAATGAGATCTCATTCAAATTCAAAATTGGTAATAATTGGATGAACGGTTGCCCTTGACTTATTAGAAATGTGTCCAATTTGGCTTGTTGGCACGATAGAGACTACAATTTTAATCTGATCTTGATGAAACTTTGAATGCATGTATATATTAATGAGATCTCATTCAAATTCAAAATTGGTAATAATTGGATGAACGGTTGCCCTTGACTTATTAGAAATGTGTCCAATTTGGCTTGTTGGCACGATAGAGACTACAATTTTAATCTGATCTTGATGAAACTTTGAATGCATGTATATATTGATGAGATCTCATTTAATTCGAAATTAGTAATTGGATGAACGGACAGCTGGTAGTGGGCGTATGTTACTTTTCCTGGTAAGCTATCTTTACTCTAGTCAAGGGAAAAATGTTTGAGTATTGAAACATCTATGATCAACTTGCTTCAGGTTTTTACATACATATATGTTAGCAAACCTATCGGCTGGAATATCAAAATCAAAACTACCGACGAAAGTTATTTTAGTTTAAACGATTGTCCATTTCCTAAACGTTTACTGGCACTGGCCTAAACCATTGCAGCCTTAATACCAAATTACACTAAGATAGGAAAAAAACTGTAACCCTATCCGTAACTGGGGCTGCAGTGGCTCAGTTAGACACTTGGACAGGTTCAATGCTAGCATAGATATGGAAACAGTGTCCAGTTGTTCAGATGAGACAACAGATTGAGGCCCTGTGTGCTACAGTAAAGAAACCTCAACACATGACAGTTGGAAATCCAAAAGAGTACGCTATTCCTGCTGTCTTAGCAAAATTCTCTCATTGCACACTGCAGGGCATTGCTTGTCTTTATAAGCCCATAAGGTGCAGAAAAGTAGGATTTTTTTTTGCTGTTGGACACTAATTGAAACAATTTTTTAGAAAAATGTATGACTAAATGCTGAGTATTCCACAGAGTGGTTTGTCATTCTATTAGACTTTGTGTGGTAAACTATCTTATTGATTTGAAATTGTTGTTGTATTTTTTTATTACAGGAATTGGATTTGGAATGATATATTTACCTTCAATTGTAACTGTTGGGTATTGGTTTGAAACTAAACGTGCATTTGCTACTGGTTTAGTTGTATGTGGATCAGGAATTGGTACTTTTGTTTTTGCTCCTTTTGCGAGATACTTATTGGATGAGTATGGCTGGAGAGGAACAAATTTAATCATGGCAGGAATGATTTTGAATTGTGCTGTGTGTGGTGCTTTATTCCGTCCTCTGGAAAAAAAAATGTGCAAAAGAACAAAACGTGGTGTAGTGCAGAGGGGATCTATTATGAAAGCTCTAATAGAAGAAAAAAAGAGACAGCGAACTATTTCCAATGGTTCATTGGATAATTGTATCATTACAAAAGATAATCGTTTGATTAAACTGGATCCAGCTATCTTTGAAGCAAAAAGTCGTAATAATTCTCTTGTAGCTAGGTTGAGAGAGTCTTTAGGTTTTAGTTCAAAAAGTCTGAATAAAAGTAACAAAAGCCTGGTCATGCCTAATATAGTAATACATAATGGCTCACCCCAGCTTTCTAAGCCTGCAGTGAAACCTAATATTCAACCTACCAAGACTAATGTCTCACCTGGAAGTGATAGTGGCTGTAGTACATCTTTTGACACCCTGAAAGCTAAAAGCTGTGATATTTTACCACAAAATGATCCATGGTTAAAACTGTCTGTTGAAAATTCATTAAACACTAAGAGCCTCAGTTGCCATAACGTGCTTGAAAATGGAGTGAAAAATTCAGGATTAGATGCTAGCTTTATCAGTATTCAAGTTCTTCCTAATGCAGCAGTATCAACTTTAAGTCGTTCTAGTCTTCAGCGGGTCAATAGTCATTATATTCAATCAAGACGTTCTTTATCTTTTGGCAGTCGTGTTACAAATCCAGCTACTATTATCAGTGGTAGTGTTATGAGCATTCCTCAATACAGTGCAAGCATACAAAGTCTGGATTCAGAGACCTACATGGAACGATCCACACAATCTAAAGTGTGTCAAGTACTTAAAGAGATGTTTGACTTTCATTTACTCAAGAGTCCTATGTTTACGCTGTTGGTAATTTCAAGTGTAATGACAATGCTAGGTAAGTTTTAACGAAGAATGAATAATATAATGAAATAGCTCATAATACCTCTTGATATATCAAAAAACCAATGACTGCTGGTGTACAGGATTAGTTGGTCCCATGGTGTGCTTGGAAAAAAATTGATGTTTTGATTGAGTAAGACTGAAGAAAAATACACCATTCAGTTGTAACTTTAAAACAATGCAATGGTATACAAGAATTGAAAGTTATAGACTTGATAAATATTTATAACACACTAAAAGACCCATGAAAAGGATTTGGTTGCATTGCATAAGTAGCATAAGCATCCCTACTTATCTGTCTCTCATGACCTTTTGTTGTGGATATGTGTACATGTATGTTCTTTACAAATAAATACTGACTATTAACAACTCAAATAAATAGGACAACTTGACTTATTTTGATACACTCCAGTGATTGTTATCACTAGTTATTTGTAAGAGACGATGTTACTTTCAGACCTAGAGAATATTTGTTCTTGAATTATCTGCTATAATCAGTAGTATTAATGGCTAATGTACAGTTTTATGCTAAAAATTTTAACTAACCGACTAAAGTTACATTGCAGAATACTCATTAAAACACAATTGAAGTTGTCTAAATGTTATTTACTTGTTTCAATTCTCTTAGAACAACCATGCTGTGAACTTGATTTTCTTCTTCAACTCATGCCTCATTTTTAGCTTCCAATTTAATCCTCAGAAACGGAATTTTTTACCTAAACCAATCAGTAATAGTGTTAACAGCTCACCTTCGAATCCGTGTGTCCAGAATTATTCGCATTCCTAGTTTGAGATATTTTGTAGGAATTATGTGATTTTCGTACATTTCTAACTCTGGTCTGAAGACTACTACATATATTCAAAACTCAAATCCACACCCTAAAATGACACATCTGGATCTGATTATCTTATTCTTATTTATATTGATAGGTTATTTTGTTCCATATTTTTACCTGACAAAGAAAGCAGCTGAAGTAGGTGTAAATGAGGAGCAACAAGCCTTATTGGTAGCTATAATAGGAATTACAAATACTGTTGGACGGGTCATTAGTGGATGGATAGCTGATAGACCTTGGGCTGATTCTCTATATCTGAACAATGGAGCTCTTATATTAGCTGGAGTTGCTACACTGTGCTGTCCATTTTGTAATGATTTTAGTTCATTAGCTATATATGCTTCATTGTTTGGATTATCAATGGGTAAGTATGATATATTCTGTTACACAAAAGGAATGTTACAAAGATTATTTGTTTTAATGTTTGACATTCAAATGATAGTACATTTTAAGCACTTGAATTATAACGTAGGCAAGATTCTCAAACATTTGGCCAAAAAATTTCTGCTCTGTCATTTCTTAGTGTGTTTGCAATTCTTAGTTGATGAGTAAAGACCAAATTATCAAACATTATCAAAAAAAAATTCAATCTGTTTCAGATTGTATTTTTTAAAAAAAAACTTTGAAATTTGCTCATTTTTATACGCTTACATGAAATGTGGGGCGTACATTGCCCATGTCCGTCAGTCGGTCGGTCCGTGGTAAACACTTTACAGGACACAATTCTTGGCGGATTTTGACGAAACTTGGTGTGAGTGTTGGTAATCACCCAAGGATGAACCCTATTGAAAATCAGAAGAATTGAAAAATATTTAGTATTGGTTATTGCCCATGTTCTTGTAAATGCGTTCAATATTAGCTTGTAAACACTCTGCATTGTTTTGCAAATGACTATTTTTTTTTTTTTTTTTTTTTGTCTACTTCTGGTCACGCTCCCCAGCCAAAACTGCACATGTCACACATTGTCTGACACTATTTTTTCTTATACTTTGCGTGTCGCTACTGTTTAAATGTAATATGACGCATTTTCTTCCAACCGGAAATGACGTATGACGTTTCATGACCATTCATTACGTATCTCGAATTACTGCTCTAATTCTGCATCTATTTTGACCGTAACTTTTGTTTTGTTCATTACTTTAAACCAATGACTAAAAGATAGCACTTTATAAAATTTCAGATTTTGACTATTGTCGCTGACTTTTTTTGTTTTAATTTTAGCGTTTTTTTTAACTTCTACAATTTTATTTCAATCGGTCTAAAAATTTAATAGTAGATAAGCATTTTGATTCCTGACAAAAATCTATTTTCAAAATTTCGATATCACTTCCGGTTTTGACGTCATTCGCCTCTAAACTTGAAATTTCAACTTCCGGAATTTTGTAGGTATTTGAAATATTCTTTTTGAAATTAGTTGAAATTGTCCCTATAACAATTTTGGAATGAAAAAATTTGAACCGGAAGTAACGTGTTAGACGCCATCTTGATGTGACCGATTTTTGTAAAAATCGATATTAAGCTTCAGGGGTAAATCTGATTTGTGTGATTTTGGTGTCTAAAGAATCTGCAATCGATTGCTAACAAAACTTAGGAAGCCGATTTTTGAATTTTGGATTCGTATTTTTTATATTTCCGGTTTTATGTTTTCAGTAATTGTCAAAAATATTAAGGCTCATATCTAGTGACTTTGACCTTTGGTGACCTTGTGACCTGAACAAAAGTTGTTGCCCCTTACGAAATATATCCGTTGATATCCTCACTTTTGTTGTGCATCGTTAACTTCCAGTTCTACAGCCATTGGAAAATCACGATTTTTAACTTTGAAGAGCTCTGTCACGTGACCTAATTAACATACAACAAAAATTCTTATATATTCTTTGAGTGCATAAAATCTCCTTTTTGGTGATATATCACACTTGATATTTTGATCAAAATTGCGTGTTTTAAAAATCGAAAATTTTGTACTGACTTCTATAGTAACTGTGCGTAAAATCACGGTGTCTATAATTTACCGACAGTCACCGTTGCCCTAAAAAAAGGTTTAACTACGAATATCTCATGATCTAATGATTGTAAAGACTTGAAATTTTGAACATTATTTAACAATGTACACATCATCACAGACAAATTACAATTTTTGAAGAGGGCGTGGCACATCCAGTGTGCATTTACCTTTACCTGAAATATTTGCAATTGTTATAACTCTCATAGTTTTCAATTGTCACCCTAAAAATTTTGCATGAAAGTAGATCACTGCTTAGGACAATTTGTGATAAGATTACAGTTGTTTGCATTCTTTACTTTAAAAAAGGGAACAGGTTTAACAATTTTAAAAAATTGTATTTTTGAACTTTAACGTAAATGACCTTGACCTTTGCATGGTCAAAGGTCATTGATCTAAGATGACCATTCTTACTTTGATTTTTGATGTGCAACATATACTTCCGGTTTTACAGACGTCCGAAAACAGCAATTTTCGAAAAAACTTCAAAGGCTCATATTACTTTTATTTAACCTTTGTTGATCTTTTGACCTGAACAAAGGTTGTTGCCCATTACGAGATATATCCGATGATATTTTCACTTTTATTGTGCATTGTTAACTTCCGGTTCTACAGCCAATTGAAAATCGCGATTTTTAACTTAAAAAAAGGTCTATCACGTGACCTAATTTATATAAGCGAAAATTTATCTTTTGTCCTTATTACACGCATTCTATTCTTTCAAATGATATATAACACTTGGTATTTTGATTAAAATTGAATTTGAAAATTTTGTATTGACTTCAATAGTAACTTTGCGTAATTTTAACGGTTTCTTTAATCCAGCGACAGTCACCGTTGCCTTAAAAGAACTTTTAACTACGAATATCTCATGATCTAATGATTGTAAACACTTGAAATTTTGAACATTATTTGACATTGTTCACATTATTACAGACAACACAAAATTTTTGCAATGGGCGTGACAAATCCGGGTTACTTTTACCTTTACCTTAGATAATTCAAATTGCAAAGTTTGCATTTTTCACCATCGAAATTTTTCCAAAAAATTAAAGCACTATTTGGGACAATATGTGATAGAGTAACATTTTGTTTGGGCCTTTTACTTTAAAAAAGGGAATAGGTTTTACAATTCATAAAATTTTGATATTTTGACCATTTACATGCATGATCTTGGTCTTTAGAAGGTCAAAGATTATTGATCTACGATGTCCATTCATACTTTTATCTTTGATGTCCGACATGTATTTTTGCTTTTACTAACGTCCCAAAACAGCAATTTTCAACACTTTTAAGGCTTATATTCTCTTTTATTTGGCCTTGGTTGACCTCTTGGCCGAAACACAAATTATTGTACCTTTCCAAAAATATTTTCATTTTTGTTGTGCGAATTGAAAATTCGACTTTTTACTACCGAATGTTAACACCTTTTAATACCGAATGGTATCAAATTCATGCGTCTATTCAATACCGAACGGTAAACGGTTTAAACGATTTTTTCTTCTATTGAACGTTTACATGCTTTTCTTTCCGGTAAGATATCTCATTTTGACTTTAAAATGCAACGTGCTATCGATGTATCAGGTTGGATGCGCTCTGCTTCGGTACCGTTATAACGGTTCTAGTTGTACTTGTTTTAAAAACAATTCTTCACGGATTTGCATGAAACCTGGCATGAGTGTTCGTTATCATCCAAGGATAAAGCCTATTGAAAATCAGAAAAATTGAAAAAATATTTAGAATGAGTTATGGCCCTTGTTCTTGAAACGCGTTTGATTTTTAGCTTGTAAACATTCTAGAAGGGTTAATTCTTTTGTTTATTATCACCCATGGATGAACTCTATCGAAAATCAAAAAATCGAAATATGTTTCATAGGACGTATTGACCTCGTTTTGAAAATGCTTTCAAATTTTAGCTCTTAAACACTAAAAGGCCTGACCCTTGAAATTGAACATGTTTTCAAGAACAAGAGCAATAACTCATACTCAATATTGTTCAGTATCGCCCTAAAGAGTTCAAAAGAAGTGTATGACTGAAGGTTGAATATTTCATACTGGTGATTGTTACTGCAGTGCTAAATATTTTTATTCAAAATCAAAGCTGCCAGTGGGCGTATATTACCTTGCCTGACAAGCTATCTTCTATTCTTGTTAAAAGGGAGTTGTGTTTTTCTTTTGAATTTTCTAAATGGTCTTGAAAATGCAAAATGTGGGAAAAGTTGAATTTTCTTTTTTTCTTTTGAATTTTATTTTGAAAATAACCCATTTTAAAAGCCCAATGTGTTATGTGAGGTGTATATTATTACCACTTTTTCTGTCAGTTTGTTCTTAATTTTTCCACTGTATAGAGTTGTCATATTGAGATCTCCGACAAGATTTTTCGCTGAACTGTTTTTGACTCATGGCCCTTGACTTAGCAAAAATGCACCATAATTTGTTTGAGACTACAGATTTTATCTGAAGTAAATGAAATTATGAAGATTTTAAAAAAGAGAAAACTAATTTTTTAATCACTCAAGTCTCTATTACCATTTCTGATGGATGCCAAAGGGCGTATGTTACCTTGCCTGTCATTACCTTGTCATTGATGTCTGTGCACGGATCAAAACCCCAAATTGTATGGTCTTTCTGTTCTTCACAATGTCTTTAACAGCATATATGATATGCTTTAAATATATACAACAAAATATTTTTACTGTTGAAATATTGCTAAATACATCAATTGTAGATTGCTATGGAAATATTAAAACAGAACCTGAAACTTGTTATCACACTTACTCTCAAAAACAAAATGTTTCAGGTTCTGTTTTGATCTTCTACATATATATTTTCTGTGTTTCGTAAATATTGATATATTTTTTTCTGCTTTTCAGCCTTTTTTGTCTCATTAAGATCAATCTTGCTTGTTGATCTGTTAGGATTAAGTATGCTGACAAAATCCTTTGGTATTTTGATCCTATTTCAAGGAGTAGCATCAATGGTTGGATCTCCTCTAGCAGGTACAATATTTAATTTATCTCATCTTTAAAGGGACTGTTTCGCCATCTGTCTGAAACTAAGTTTATTAGTTATACTAATTACACAGTTCATTTTAGCCTTCAAATCTATGTAATGGTGCAAATGATGACTCATCATTTCTTGAGACTCTGTGATGTATGGAAAAGACATGTATAGAATTAGAAAATGATATTCCTAGTTTGAGATATTTTGAAGGAATTATGCGATTTTTGTACATTCTTAGTACTTCTGAAGACTATTTACATATATTCAAGACTGAAGTCAACCCCCAAAGTGGGGAATCTAAACCTGAGAGTAGTGATATCTTACATGACACATTTTTATATGCTCACATAAAAGCTGTCAGTCATGTCTGTCTATCCGTCCATCACTCTGAAAAAAGCACAATTCTTGATGAATTTTAATTAAACTATGTGTTTATCATCATCCTATTGAGTTCTATTCAAAATAGGATAATAACATTCCATATTAATGGAATTGATAGGTTCTGTTGAGTTTAAAAGTAGTTTTCAATTAATTTTTATCAAACTAAGTGTGATTCATGGAATGATTCATGATAAGAACTAGGAAAAGTTAGAATTTGACAATTTTTAGTAATTGTTGGTTGCAGAGTTCAATCACTTCAAAACAAAGTTTTCAAGTGATTTGGTGGAAACTTTGTATGATCGTTGAAATTGTAAATTCCCCATTGCACACTGCATAGACTTATCCATCTTTATCTGCATGAACAGTAGTAGAAAGTAAATAGCGCAAACAAGTCAATTTCATTTAGTTAATGAATTGCAAATGTTTGGAAATTATAACTGAAATTTGTTTTTTTTACCTCAAGCTTAAATTAAATTCAATTATACCGAAAACAGATAAATATTGAACCATTTAAATGCTTCATATGATAATTCAAGGACAATATTTATACGCCCACATGAAATGGTGGGGGCGTTTATTGCTGTCACTCTGTCCGTCCGTCAGTCCGTAAACACTCTACTAGGCACAATTCCTGACTTATTTTGATGAAACGTGGACAAATATTTAGTATGAGTTATTGCCCTTGTTCTTGAAAACGAGTTCAATTTTAGCTTGTTAACACTCTAGATGGCACAATTCTTGATGGATTTTGACGAAACTTATTGTGAGTGTTTGTTATCATCCAAGGATAAACCCTATCAAAAAACACAAAAATTGAAAAATATTCAGTATGAGTCATTGCCTTAGTTCTTGAAAATGCGTTTTTAGCTCATCTAGATGAAACTTGGTATGAGTGTTAGTAATCACCCAAGGATAAACCCTATTGAAAATCAGAAAAATCGAAAAATAATATGTATTCCGAGAAGGAATGCTTTATAGAGGCCAAGTTTAAAAGGGGCTATATGGAGAATTAATCAGGGAAGTGGGCATATCTTGCTAGGCAACCACTTGTTAATATTACCAATACAAGAGCTTTCTGTTTAATGTATATACTTGGTTCAATTCCAGGCAAGTTAGAAGATGCAACAGCAAGTGTTGATGGTACATTCTATTTAACAGGTGCCTTGATTCTGGCTTCTGCATTAATGAGTGTACCATTAAGATATATCAAAAAGTGGGAGGAAGGTAAAATCCCTGAACCTTTACCTGAAGAGATGCCAATGAAAATTAATGAGACCTACAAAATTGAAGAGGTAGTATCAGCAATTTGAGGGTGGTAAAGAATAAAGGAGAAACAAGTGACAAAAATGGCTGACATTAAATATAAATATATATTTTATAAAATGAAAATAAACTTTCATAAGACTTGGAAAACATCAAGCAAGAATTGAAAAACAGTTACAATTTATTTGATATGTTTAGCACTCTCATAGTGTATCGATAATCCATAGTGATTATTATAGAATGTTGATTCTAACCATTTCTAAGAGATATTTTCAATTGTGTTTTTGTAATATTTTTTTATGTATACTTCAATACTGTTTCAAAGATACAGGTAAAAAAAAACATTTTGACTGGGAATCAGAATCGTATTCAAACAAAGGCAATCAGAACATACATTAATGCTTTGAGATTAGTATGCTATCCGATATAGAAAAAATATCTGATATAAATATTTGTATGTAATATTACAAAAAACGATAAATTATTACTTTTTTTGTTTCCAGTTATCTTTTTTATAAAATGTATATAGATGCTGAAAAGTGTATTATATTTCACATATTATAAGCCCTCTCCTCCATAACATGCTCTAGAACTTACAGGTTCAATTAATGTAAGACTCAGGATTAGTTCACAATATATAATTTGATGTTGATTATGAATAGTTATGCTTGTAAATGTTATTAGTTATTTATACTGTGTTCATAACGTATTTTCACACCATGTAAATATTCAATTGGTCTACATGTAATGTATACCATTTATTATTCATGTGTTCCTACTTACTAAAACATGAGCTGAAATAAGCTTCACATAGCTTGACAAGAAATGGAACTGAGAATTAAACTAATCACGAAATTCCATATTTTTTAAGTATCATGTTTCTACAGAGCATTATGGTTTAGTAAGTATTGTAATACTATTTCTGATAAGATAAGATGAATAGAGTGATTGAATGATGAAAAGATAATATATATTTAAGGATGTTGTCCAATATTAGTAAAAGTGCTATAAAGTATACTTCTGTGATTAATATTATGTGTTTGATTTTTTTTTATCATCCATCAAGGCGTACACGGCAGGTTACATTGAGACGTTGACAACAGCATCTAATCATGCCATGGACAAGAACATTACTCATATTTTTGTCCCTTTTGTAAGCAGTCACCAAACGTTTGGTATAGATACTAGGGAATTCATCCTGAAGTTCTTTTTGACAATCACAGAAGCATTTTAGCCGCAGTATTGTAGGTGGCAATGTTTAGTTCGATTGTCATGCTGGATATTTAGACCATATGATTAAAAAACATTCTCTTTGCAATGCAATCGCCCAGTTTTTATACACCAATGTCGTATATTATTATGGCCGCTATCCCTCAATAGGTCCGTCCGTCCGTCAAAATTTGCTTGTAAATGCTCTAAAAAATAGAAACTAAAAACTATGTCTATACATATTCATAAAACGAAGATCAAGTTCGAATTTGAGCTATTTTAGACCGTTAAAAGCAGAGTAATTGCCCTTGACCCAAAATCTTGAATATGCTATTTACTCTCTTAGTTTTCAACTGATTTTGATGAAACTTAAAATGGATGTTATTGGATCTAAATCGAAAGGTTTGAGAAAGTTTGGTTTACTTCTGATTAAATTTAGACCTCAGTTTTGAGGAGTTATCGCCCTTTAACCTCTACACAGTAAGTGCTTCTATCAACATCAATTGCTCGTAAACACTCCAAAAACTAGAATGTTTGAAGGAATCAAATGAAATTCGGTATGTGCATACCTATTCATGAAACGAAGATCAAGTTCGAATTTGAGCTATTTTCGACCTTAGGAGTTATTGCCCTTGTCCCAAAATCTGGAATATGCTATTACTCTCTTAGTTTTCAACCGATTTTTTATCTGTAAGTAATTGCCCTCGACTTTGTAAAAACGTTTCTAAATTTGTTCGTAAAATTTTCATCAGATTTTAATGAAATGTGGTTTGATCATTTATATTGATATGATCTTGGTCATGTTCGAATTTCACGATTTTCGATAAACAGCGTTTATTTTTATGTGGCTTGGGAATGCGATGGAGTTGACAGTTTATGTCAGGATTTATGAAATTTTGTGTTTGTTTATAGCAATAATGTCTTGGACAAGTTCGATTTTTTGTTAAATTTGACACAGATTGACGTCCGCCCTTGATATAATGAAATCAGGGAAGTTGGTGTATCTTGCGAAGCAATCACTTGTTGGTTTGGTCGGTGTAGATACAAATATCTTTTGTATGGGCGCAAGTACATCTTCGAATGGAAATTCGATTAGGTGAATTAAAATGATTCGCTATTGATTTATCTTTCATATGGAGTATATTTAAACGGTAGCGTCAAACCGTTAGGTGGGGAATGAAGTTATTTTTCTTTTCTGTTAGAAATATTTCGTTTTTATACGCCAAATACAAATTTGCCTTCGCCCCTGTCCGTCCGTCGGTCCACATTTCTTGTATGCACGATAAACGCTAATTCTTTTTTTATCTGATCTTGATGAAACTTAGTATGCATGTATATATTGATGAAATCTCTGTCAGAGTTCGAAATTAGTAATAACCGGATGAACGGTTTCAGAGTTATTGCCCTTGACTTAGTAAAAACGTCTTAAATTTGGCTTGTATGCACGATAAAGGCTAAAAAATTTTATCCGATCTTGATGATACTTATTATGCATGTATATATTGATAAGTTTTCGGTCAAGTGCGAAATTGGTTGTAATTGGATGAAGGATTTCAGAGTTATGTCACGTGACTTAGTAAAACCAAGTCAAACTTGTGCTTTAAAGTTTATTTAATGGTTACTGTATAATTTATATTTTACACATACCTTAAATACCTTATTTTACATACCTTATTTTAAAACAACCAATAATTATTCATGAATTAAACCATTACGCTATTCTCGTAGCCAATCAAAATCAATCTTCAGACAGAGTTATGTGTCATTGCTATTTTCCTAGGCAATATGTCAGTCTTAAATGGCCGAGTCAACGTTCAACTCACACAAACCAACGAACATTGGCGAATGTTTTGCTGTCAAGTGAAATCCGCCGAGGCTATTAAAATACCGCATACAAGTATTCTCGAGGAGCAATCGCTTGCCCACCACCTCAAGTGCGTGATAGCTTAGCGGTTCCACATTGCGAAACCGGTCAGGTGCGTTGTGATCCTAACTCGGCGCGAAACGTTTCCTAATCATGGTGCCAGAGGTTTTCTAATTTTCTGAGCGATCAGGCCTTTGATTTCTAAGACAGGATTTGTTATCGATATTAGAGTAATATATACTCTTTACATCTCAAGAAATACATGGCGCATTATCTGGTATATCTAATATCCTTCAATAAAATAGGCAGTGTCTTTTAAGCTGGACGGATGTTTGCAAAAAGTGGTCAATTTATTCATTTTCGGAAACTTGGTAAGATTTGGTTGCGCAGTCGAATGGAATATTTAGTTTCGTACCACTTGCGTAACTCATGCTTGAACACAGTATAATAAAGCTGCACCAAATACTGCCATGAACTATGCGTAGACATTATTTAACCTATAAACAAGTAGTGTTATTTAGTTATATAACGTAAGTCGGTTCTATCCAACTTTATCTGAAAAGAAAAAAAATCCAGTTGCTTTCGCACTGGCAAATGAACTTATTCAGTTTTAACCAGAAGTTATCCAGATAGAAAAATCTATCTCTATAGGTGAATTTCAATTGGATACGATCCAGATAATTGGCAAAGCGAAACCAAACAAGAAGTTATCCCGATAACAATATCACGTGGGGTATCACATGAAGAAATACTTCTAATACCTTCTCCTGTTGGCGGGGAAGTAAGAAATACTTAGAAATCACAAGAAAACAGAAAATAGCTAATTGGCAGCTTTGATTTTGAATAAAATATTTAGCAGTACAGTAACAATCACCAGTATGAAATATTCAACCTTCAGTCATTCACTTCTTTTGAACTCTTTAGGGCGATACTGAATAATACTGAGTATGAATTATTGCCCATGTTCTTGAAAACTTGTTCAATTTTTAGCTCGTGAAAACTCTAGAAGGCAAATATTCAATCTTCAGCGCGGTACTGAATAATAAAACCAAGTTTTGTCAAAATACAGAAAGAATCATGCCTTTTAGTGTTTAAGAGCTAAATTTGAAAGCGTTTTCAAGAATAAGGGTAATATCTCATACTAAATATTTTTCAATTCTTCTGATTTTCTATAGGGTTCATCCTTGGGTGAGAACAAACACTCAAAGCAAGTTTCGTTAAAATCCGTCAAGAATTGTCCCTTCTAGAGTGTTTACGAGCTAAAAATTACACGCGTTTTCAAGAACAAGGGCAATAACTTATACTAAATATTTTTCGATTCTTCTGATTTTCAATAGGGTTCATCCTTGGGTGATTACGAACACTCACACCAAGTTTCGTCAAAATCCGTCAAGAATTATGCCTTCAGGAGTGTTCACGAGCAATTGTGGACGGACGGACAGGGGTGCCGTCAATGTACGTCCACATAGAGAGATGTGGGTGTATAACAAGTTATGTCAGAGAGTCTGAGAAGTTCAATTGCCAGAAATATTTATATAATCTTCTATAGAGATCCCGGAAAAGCAATCACAGTTAAAGCTTTATACAACGTGCCTGAGCAAAACAATCACAAACAACCTTAGACCCTGGACAAAAACAAACACTCTATGTTTCACCACTGAGCTTCCATCATATAATAGCTTCCATCATATAAAAGCTGAAATACATGGATGGAAGCGAGTAAGAGGTGCGCCAAACTCATATGGTCATATTATTAGTAGGACTAATAATTGAAATATATGAAATACAAAATGAGATATAAAAACATTATGCACATCATAAATGGTAAAAATAAAAAGTATTAAAGTATATGTATAAAATATCCTCTACAGACCCAGAACATTTAACTTGGTTGTTGGGTCTTCATTAGTACATTTTACCAATTATTGCACGAAGAGTTAATGTAAAGATTGAAGTCAAATCTATTCAGTATGTTACGGAAGCGTATTAGGGCCATTCATTTTTTTTTTTTTTTTTTGAATTTTCAAGTTAGTATGTTGAATTTTCAAGTTAGTAACTTGAAAATTGGAGATACTAACTTGAAAATTCAAGATACAAACTTGAAAATTCAAGTTAGTAACTTGAAAATTGGAGATACTAACTTGAAAATTCAAGTTACTAAATTCAACATACTAACTTGAAAATTCAACATACTAACTTGAAAATTCAACATACTAACTTGAAAATTCAACATACTAGCTTGAAAATTCAAGATGCTAACTTGAAAATTCAAGTTACTAACTTGAAAATTCAAGTTACTAACTTGAAAATTCAACATACTAACTTGAAAATTCAACATACTAACTTGAAAATTCAACATACTAACTTGAAAATTAAGAGAAAAAAATAGAATGGCCCTAATACGCTTCCGTAGTATGGGTACTATAATTCATTTTATTCTATATTTATAATTCATTTTATGTTGTAACTACACAATCACAATTTTTTAACATAATATTTCATAAAATTGAAAATTCAAATATATATTATCTGTTAACGTATAATAAAAAAAAAAATGCAACAACTTTGGCACTTAAATAACAAGTTATTCTCGGTTTGGTTTTGAATGAGGATAACACTTGTGGAAACTGTCATGTATGAAACATTCGAAAGCAATTGCGATCGCTTTGGACACAGAGAAAAAGGTCACACCTAACACGCCGAACACGAGTTTTGCTTGTGCATCCAGGATAACGGCATCGTGATGCACTTTTGAGGGCCACAGCATGTGGCAAGTGTTTAGCACCCGCTTTGCAATAATAATCAATGGGAAGGGCAACCCGTTTCACAACAGGTTCATAATCTGAATCATCGGCAGACGTTTCATCTTCACGAGATGCAGCCAGTAGTTGTTCTGCAAGACAAAGTTTGAATTCCAAAAATTCAAGTTTGTGTTTTCCTAAGAGACTGTTCCTCAGTTTATCATTTCGATATGCTATCCAACAATTAACCATCACAACATCAATGAAATGAAAAATTGTTCTGATCGTCCACTTTTGCTGCTAATCATCCTATCATGAAGATCGACCCCGCCCATTTTATCATTGTAAGATTTTACGATAGCAGGTCGATTAACCGTGATATACTTTCCATCCTTTTTGGCCGGTAAATGGTATCATTTGCTCGTCAATACAAACATGTTGCGGTCTGGGAATCTTCAGGCAAACTGACCGTATGTGCTCGAGGAATGGTCGTACTTTCCATAATTTGTCAGCCCGTTTTGTACTGTCGTCACTATCGCTATCTATCACGACCTTGACACTATTTCGAATTTTGAAATATCGGTCTCATGGCACAGCATTCACTATGGCTTGGACGGCAGTTCTCTGCCTCCAATACATACGGATTCTCGGCATCTTTAAAGCACCCATGAGAATACTGATACCGGTAAATTTTTTAAGTTCAAGCTGATTAGTGTTAAGTTCTTTGCCGGAATTTTGAACATACATAATATTCGTACAATGAGCCATATTTGCGAAAACATTTTCATCTATGTACTGTTCAAAATAATCAATTGGTGTCAAATTATCATTATGAACTTCGCCCTCTACATAAGGTGCAAAATTCATCTGTATATGTCCATGGTTGTCGCAATATTTCTGTATTATTCACACCCTCATCATCGTTTGAGTTATTTATTCCACCATCTTCGTCTTCAGACTGATTATCGATAGTGTCAACTGGATCTTCGAGATAGTCTGAATCATTATCATCTGACAGCTCCAAATCAGAATCATTATCATCTAGTAAGTCCAAAATATCATCCAGGGCAAATCGTTTACACTCTACAATGAAAGAAATGGTTAGGGTAATATGGTTCACTTTAATATGACGAAAAATTTTGTTTATTTTGAAACACTTGTTATATACAGATTGTCTGGGTAATATTACTATGAAAAAACACTAATTGGGTATAATTCATTTTGCTTTAACTGATCAGAATCAAAACTTACCTCGACTAGGCTTGACCTTCTGAGAACATGTGGCTTCGGCCATCTTGTCAGGAGTCACATGACCACATGAAGGGGAGGTAACTCCCAATCATTATGTTGCCTGATACAGTAAATCATATGAAATGATGTTTAAGAGGTAAATTAACGAATAAAATGATTCTCCGAGGAAAGATTACGCTATATTTGAAAAACTATGAATGTCCAAAAAAATATTTATACTAGTACTTTTAACACGAATTTCAGGTAAAAAATTATATAAAGCATGTAGGCTTACGAAATTTATTATGCTGTAAGATGATTTATCTGGTGTATTTTCATTGCTCCGTAACCCACATTCAATTTCTCTGAAACATACTTTTCAATAGTAGTGAAGGACTCTTATATCTACCATAATTAATTCAATTAACGTGAAAGGTTTCAAATTATATAGGTCAGTTTAATTTCTGATTTCCCTTCCATTTTAAACTAGTCGGATCTGCAGCTCTTTTAATTGTACCACCGATTCCATACACCGCTCCTTTACCTTGGCCTGCTTCCAACAGATTCCATGTTACATTTTTGTAGGTTAACTGGAAAGAGTATGTGGATGTTAATTGGAAATTCAGTTTATTTCTGTACTGCGTTGTCGGGCCATGGCTGATAGAAGTGTATAATTGAAATAATACTCTGGGGTGCTAATTTCTTTAGTACCGGTACTTGAGTAAGATGTACCCACTGGGTCATGTCTCATTGACGCAGAAACACTTCGACGAAAGGAAAGCTTAGATTGGTACCAACATGACATATACCAGAATGTAGAGTTACTTGATTTTTGGATGCTCCGAAATGGACTCTCTGTATTTCTTCATTATACTTGCAAGCATAGTATTCCGAAAAATCGATGTGGGCAACACTCGCAAAACTCGAAGGACTCTCGAAGGATGCTGTATATTAAAAAGATGAGCTGCAAATCGTTCTTTCATTTTTTTTCAAATATATTTTTCAAGTCCCACAATTATTATTCAAATCTCTCTTCCACAGCTCTCTTTACCTCAAAAGTTTCTTCTCCATTGGTGGTAGTCTTTATTTGCTGTCCTTTCTTGGAAATCCATTGATAATTCACAACTTTATCCACTTTTTCTCTCAGCATTCGTTTTAACCATTGGTCTTTATAGGTTTCACTATTCCCTTATATACATATTTTATTATGTATATCTTTTTTTATTTGATCGACTAAATCTGAAGATGTGATCACTTGTTCTTGCTGTGCTGTTTGCATAGATAGGTATCCATATCTTTGATGGATGGAATGACTACCCAAAATGGTCGTAATTTTGCAAATTTGGATTTAGAAATTAGGATTGACGTATTTTCATACAGAAATTTGATATGCAGATTCTGAATCTTTTCTCTGAAGCTGAAACTCTGTAACTAGTTTCTAGACTGAGATTGTATCATTTGGACGTTTCCGAATAAATAGTGAAGGTTAGTAGATTGCTTTTATGTCAGAATATGATTGTATTGCCTTTCTGTATAACTTCACTATCAGACACTCCCACCCGACATGACAAATAACTTTTTACTTTGCTCTTTAGTTCTACTGTATCTTTTTCAGATTTCTGACAGTAACAAAGCATGAAATAGGTTCTGGGTTAATCTTCTTCCAAGACAACCTCTTATTAATCTGTTAACTTTAGATCTCGGGGAATAAGTCATGTTGTCTAATTTTACTGAAACTCTTAGAAATCTCTTTGTAAGAAAACCGGACCCCAATAGACCCGATGAGGAAATTCAACACCTAAGTCGCAATGACTTGACATATGCTGGGTATTGCTATGGGCAAGCGTTTTGCCACTTATATGCCAACCTTTTATTGAGTGGGAACGTTGACCATTGTTTATGGTCTTGTCCTAGATAATATTTTCATCGTTTGGACTTATTCGACAGAACAGTTTTGTGAATTCTCTGAAATTCTCAATAATCATCATCCATACATACACTGTAAAAAAAGTCCGTTTTTTTTACAGAAATTTACTACATATTTTCTCTTGATATACGTAAATTTCTGCTGATATGCATACTTTTCTGTTGATTTACGGACTTTGTTCTTACATTAACAGAATGTTAGTTCCGCAGTAAGGAAATATGTTATTTTACGTAAATTAATCTTGGTCGTATGTCACTTAACAACAATTACGTTATTTGTCAGTAAATTTACGTAAATTCTGTGTTATTATGATGTTTATCCAAACTTGTCTGTAGATAAGCGAAGTCCGCGCATGCGGTGGGAATACTGTTTTTTTTTTGACAGGAACTTTGTGTTTCCTTACGGAAAACAGAATTGCTGTTAATTTACGGAAACTGTGATTTTGCGTTATATGATATTTTCGACCTGCCAATCAAAGTAGGTATGACGTCATCGGTAAAGGCACGAGGTCAGTCTATCGTCACACCGCCATCTTATCCCACATCAAAACAAGGCTACGCCGAAGGATTTTTGTGAATTTCTTAAATTAAATTGAATATGGTGAGATGCATGGAGAACTTGAAATGCTGACCCGATATTCCACCACTCATTCCTGTTCTATTATCACCCTTTGTCAAAAACTGCAAAATGTTTTACTGAATTTTAAGCGTGTGGGAACAACGACAAAATGACTTAAATTTATCTACACGATGAACTAGACTAGGCTTAGCTTAATTGGTCTTGGGTAGAGTGGAAATGATCACTGAATACAAATTCACAGGTGAGTGTATTTTAATTATTGCCTAAGTAAATTTGTAATGTTACCATTTTATCACTTTATACATGTGTGGTATTTGTGGTCTGAAACTTAGATCAGTCTTGTTAAGAGTCATCTTTCTGTTTAGAACTCTTCTGTCTAAGAGAGTAGAAAAATTATTAATTTTAATCATGGCAATGAAGTCCTCAAATTCATTTCTCTATTTCTTAAGTTTAGTCAACCACAATGTAAGTTTATACCCGATTACATAAGAAAGCCTCCGACGATATGAAATATCACAGGATCCATAATTTCTATTGCAATTTTTTGTTTTTTCATGCTCTGCTGTCTGAAAACTTTTACCAAAATGTAAACAAACCCCACAAAATGGCGCCAAATTATGCATAGATCCCTCAAGTCAGTTTTCCCACCAACTTTGTACATGTGACACTATATTAAATGTTTGTACCTACTATTAATAACATTTGCAATGTCTTATCGATGCCTGGAATGTCAAACTGTGCAACCTGCTTTTAAGAAATAATTTTGTACGCAACCCATGTCTGCTATACATAAGTGTGTCATTGCATCATGCTCTTAAATTCCATCCACTTTCTTATGCCTTTACTATTTTATTATTTTTAACTTATAATTTCTTTTTCTGTTTTTGTACATCCTTGCTTTTTTTGTACTTTCAGCCTTTTACGGTTATGAGTACAGAGTACAATAATACAAGGAATGAGAATTCTGTCATTAATCTTGTCAATAAACCTTAACCGTTTACACTCAATGTTAGGACCCACTACGTGGGCGAAGCATTACAAAATTCATAAACGAGGGCGAATTGGACACTGGATTTCTCGAACTAAAAGATCCAGTGCCCTACTATTACTACACTACTACAGTACGTTAGCACAACAAATATTTTCTCAATTTAAATTTATCTTTTCAGGTATGTCACCTTTTCCTTTTCTTTAAAGTTTCTGCCATCATTTACCAGCTAAAAGTTACAGAGCATTATGAGACTTGACCTGACTTTCGAACGAGAAACAATTAACTGTGCACATCAAAAACAATTAGGCCTTATAATAATGATTAGAGTTGCATCATAAACAGTATTGCGCTGGATGATGGAGTCTTATAACCTTGTGGAACACTAAAAAAACAGTACTATGTCCAGAAGTAGTAGCATTACTGGATCACAGGTCCTTGAAATTCTGTAAATATTAATAAAATATGGGCAATGTGGAGAAAAGAGTGTCAACATAAATATAAAAAAAGACATTAGTTAAATCAGAACGTTGTCATTAGTTAGAACGTTATGAAGATGTCATTAGTTAGAACGTTATGAAGATGTCATTACTTATGAGAATATCATTAAGAGATGTCATTAGTTATCAGAATGTTAAAGATGTCATTAGAGACGAGTATGTATTTCAAGTTCATCATTTGTTTTTATGCAAGAGATTGTTTTTATACGCCCACATTTTCAGTTGTATGTACAATTAAAGATGTAGTTAACATCATTTTCTCTGATTATTTACAATGCACAAATAATATCAATAAACAAATAAAGTTAAAATGTTTTGTTATTTTACAGAAAAATGGAAATGATTTCTGGCAACAGATTTATTACCAGAATATCCTTTTTAAAATTCTGTTTTTTTACAGAACTGGAAGGAAAAATTCCAGCAGCAGATTTACCAGATTATTCTTCCTATTTTCTGTTAAATTACAGGAAATATTAGAAAAATTCCGGCAGCAGATTTACCAGAAGTATCCTTCCTATTTTCTGTTAATTACAGGAAATATTATTAGTCATTCTGTAATTTAACAGATTTTGTCGTAAAATATTTCTGTTATTTAAAGCAGATATTTTACAAGAAATTCTGTTATATAACTGAAGTCAAAATTTAAATTCTGGTAAATCAGCTGCCGGAATTTTTTCTGTTAATTGAAGGAAATTTTTTTTACAGTGTAAAAATAAGTTCTAACGTTAGTCACAATTTACCACTGTACACAAAGGAGATTCCATAGCGGAAACGAGGGTGTATTTTAAGGAAACTACTACTCAGTTATCAAATTAAGGAAATTTCAACTTGGACGACCATTTATCATACGATCTTATCCTAATTCTCACTGAGCGCATATATTGAGCTGCCAGAAGATGAATTTTCGTCAAACTGGGGAAGCCGCTCGTGTGATTGGATTTTTGCATTCCTGCCG